GGGAACTAACACCAGAAGAGATCACCATTATGCAGTTGAGATTGAGGGAGCTTCTTGCCATCTGTCAGATCATTTAAAATTAATATAAACACTCTGACGTTGAGGATGAACCAATATCCTCGCCCTAAGTCTTCACATTACTCAAGCTATTGTGACCCCAGAAATGCCAAAGCTAACAATTGCTTACCTGAAATTCTATACCTGTATTATTGCTAGCCTATTAGCAGAAAAACAATGATTGGCACCACACATGTTAACACCAACAGAATGTTGTTGAACATACTGCTTATACACTGAATGTTCAAGCTTTTTATCTTGGGCTATTTTCGTATACTTTCTAGAACCAATTGTTGGGCCTTTTTGGCTAGCATCTGCAATAAACTTAAGAGTATAGTCTGATCTTGCTTCTACAGATATCAGACACTACTTGTTTCTTAATGCTATATTCCTCACACATCCAAGCCATTGAGATGCCAGACTCCCGCTTCCTTATAGTTTGTTTTTGCATAACTCTCAGATTCACGCATTTTCACCTAGCACCACTTGCTTTTGAGGCCATTGTCAATAGCTCTATACTTAATATGTAATGAAGTCACACAAAACATTTTAAATTCAGGGAAAAATGGGAAAATTGGAGACTGAATGACTTGTCTTCATGTGAGTTCAGACAGTAAGCTAAAGCAGGCAACCTGTGGCTCAGGAAACATTGAAAATGGACAGGTCCTTGATGCAAACACTGGCCCATACCTGATAAATGTCCTAGAATCAGAAGACTTGGCCCATTGCTTTCAGAGACTACCAGACACACTATTGTTGATGGACAAAATTCGAATTCTGTGTTTTTGTTTTTTTTTCATTTTGTCAATTGGTTACAGCATTTCTTTAGTCAATTTTTTGTCAGTTGGTTCTGAAATCCAGTAAATTATGGTTCATTAAATCAAGGCTTTACTGTGCTAAGTATTTGCCTACATTCTTTATTATTGTCTCCAAACCTTTTAAAAAATACTTTTAGTAGTAAATTTGGAAGAGGATTTTAAATTTTAAATGTCTATTTCAGTGTTTCAGTGTACAGTGGCACCCCAGTTTTCGTCCTTAATCCATTCCAGAAGGTCAGTCAAAATCCGAAATGGATGAAAACCGAAGTGATATTTCCCATAAAAAATAATGTAAATCCAATTAATCCTTTCCAGACACCCAAAAATATTAACAAAAAATACATTTTATAGAGAATAACTATAATTTTACATACAGAAAACAATGAGAAATAAATATAAAGCACTAATTTTAATGGATAAATGAACATTTAAATCACTGTTACATACCTTTATTGAAGACTTGTTGGTGTATAGAAGAAGGCGAGGAGGGAAGAGAGAGAAGAGGTTATTGTTTGGAAGAGGAATCCCCCTCCATAAGGACTTCAGGTATCAAAGCCCTGTCCGGGGGTTACTTCCCTTCTTTGTCTTTTACTGGCACTAGGACCAGCTTGAGTCACTGCACCCCTATCACACAAAAAATCTGTCAAGAGAGGCCTGTTTCTGGCAATTCTTTAAGATTTGCCTAAAATGGGACAAGAGATTGTTTGTGATCTCTGTTTTGTTAGCATAGTTACCCCTTTCACAACATCAGCTTCCTTGATTTTTACTTTCTTCACCAGGTTGGAACTGATTGTTGATTTGGACTTCCCATACATCCTGGTGAGGTGGACCACATGTATGCCGCTTTTGTATTTTGACACAAGCTCTTTCTTGAATTCTATCGTGTTTCTCACCTTCTTTACCAGAGCTGACACTGAACTTTTTTTGGCCCCATGGTGGGTTATTTCGCAGTCACACTCAATAAACAGGCACCAAAAACAATGGATGAACGCACAGAGTATCGTTCACTCGACAAGTGACAGAGGCAGACTAAGTCAGGCGGCGACAGCCCAGGTGGGCGGATGCGTCTGATACAGACAATTTCCAAGTCGATGTACGAAACCCAGAGTAAAAATTTGCCGAGAAAAGTGGTCGAAATCTGAATTGTACAATATTCGGACTGAGCGAAAACCAGAGTTTTACTGTATTTAAATTTTAACCCTTAACCCTTTGACTGTTTCAGGCCCCTCTCTGAAACTGTCATTCTATGTCGCTCAATTTTTGAAAAAAAAAAAAATTATTTTTTCTTATGAAATGATAGAGAATCTTTTCCCGATGGTAATGACACCAAAAGTTCGAAATTTGGTCGAAAACTCGTGGAATTAAGCTCCCGCGAAGTTAGCGGTCTTGGCGACATATGCGTATCGGCGATTTCGCCGACTTTGAGCCCAATTTTCAGCCAATTCCATTGTTCCAGTTGACCAAACTCATAGCTATTTCTTTAGAACTCCATTTTATCTATCAGCTGAGTACAAGAAACCTCCCTTTTACTAATTTGGACTACCCAATATGGTGGTCAGAAATTGGCAATTTGGCCAATTTCACGCAAAATAAAAAAGATGCCAATTTCAAAATAGGGTCCAGAATAAACAAGGTAGACATTCGTGGCACTAAAATAACATATGCTCTGTTCATTAGTCACATCTCTAGGCCCCTCTTATATTATTTTGCTTTCTATTTTGATTTTTTATTCATACAAAAAAATACAAAATTTACTGTTATGCAGACGACTGCATTATTGTAAAAATGGTATAAATAATATCAGTGCACTAGTGAAAGAATATTAGACTCCCCAGTTGACGTGTATTGGACGTGTGGTGTGATTTATGTACTCTTGAACATTGGTAAAAATCGAACATTTCCGCTACTTTGAGCTCAGTTTCAAGGTCGTTTTCATCGTAAAAGTAATGAAAATCATCTCTATTTCTGTAATATGTTTTCCATTTTATCACTAAGACCATGAAAACGCGAATACAACGATAAATACTATACGAAAATACACCTCAAAGTCGGCGTTTTATTCCAAAAAAACGATCAGAGTTTTTTTTTTCTCATTACGCAATGTGTGCTGCAGGATTTTTTTTATGTGGTGCACACTGACCACACAGACCCATTCTCTCACATGTGGGCCTACCAGCTTTCTCCCACTTGATTTGAAGCCGCTAGAATTATTGAGTATATATACGTCAGAAACATTGGCTCGTAAGACGTATTTATACGTCAAAAACAGTCAAAGGGTTAAACAGTCCAAACGTATATATACGTTCACTTGCGCAGCACCCCGAATATTTTGAAAAAAAAAAATTATAGGAAAAAAGAAATTTTTTGACATATTTTAGAATAAAAAAAAATTAGGGTCGGTACTTACCGAGATATGAGGCCAAGAAGTTGGCACTGGATGCTCATGTGACAGCAACATCGAGTCCTGCCGCTTGCAGAAGTGTTACCGATATACTTTTTTTTCTATTTTTCATATTTTATGTAATTTTTATGTTCTGATAATTACAATTTGTAGTAGTTCTTGTCATTTTATAACCAATCTTTGTTCTGACACTAGTATTAGGTACTGAAATTGTACTCAAATTGTCACAAACACACAGGTGGACATTTACACCTGCCTTAGCCATTTACTATTGTCTTGGAATATGTACAAAGTATTTATATGTCCCAGCAATGTTTTGGATATGTGGAAGTTTATAATAACAATGAGGAGGAAGAGGAGGAGGAGGGGGAGGAGGAGGAAAAGGAGGAGGAGAAGGAGAAGGAGAAAGAGCAGGAAGAGGAGGAGAAAGATGAAGAGGAGGAGGAGGAGGAAGAGGAGAAGGACAAGGAGGAAGAGATGGAGGAGGAGGAGAAGGAGGAGGGGGAGAAGGAGGAAGAGAAGGAGGAGGAAGAGGAAGAGGAGGAGGAGGAAGAGAAGGAGGAGGAGGAGAAGAATAATACATAATAATAATAATAATAAATAATAAGTTCCCTTGAAGCATGAAAAACAAAGTCCACCTCTGACAGTGACATAATAAGATGAGATAACATCTGATGAGAGCTGACGTTTGATGAGCATACACGAGGGTGGGGGAGGGTGCAGCTGATAAGAAAAGATTAGAGGTGATAAGTACATGAGTAGGAGGGGTTGGATTCAAGTGGGACTTTCACATCAGAGCTTATTTCTTGGGTGGCATTGAAAATTGGGTTGGGCAAATGTTTTGTTAGTGGGATGAATTGTAAAGGACCTGCCTAATATGGGCCAACAGGCCTCCTGCAGTGTTCCTCCTTTCTTATGTTCTTATGTTCTTATGTGATATTGGATGAGCATCACCCTCACTTTGCTTTCGCTGATACACAAACATGTCTGTCTGTCAAGCTCCCTGTCTATCAGTCTATCCGTCTAGCTCTCTGTCTCAGAGAGAGCCACAAGACTGCATCATCATCACGTTTACTTACATCTTCAAGCAGAGTATAGCACTTTGTCTGGATTTTTTGGGTTATCCTAGGTAATTTACACTATGTATACTTGTATTTATGTGTACCTGTGAGACAGATAGACAGATAGAAAGAGATACAGAGACAGATAGACAAAGACAGAGACAGAGACAGATAGACAAAGAGGTAGACAGAGATAGAGATAGACAGACAGAGATAGACAGACCCTAAACTTGGGGCTAACATCACTTTCCTCTTAAAAGAGGAGTGTTAATATGACATTACATCATTGAATCCTTGGTGTTTGCCGCACTGTTTGCTCTAGCTGGCGCTCGATTTAACTGGTGCTCCCACAAGGTACTAAGTGGTCTCAGATTTTTTTAATACCACACACACTGAGTGTTAGGACCCATTCTATTCTGACAAGGCATCTCAGGCCAATCATGCCAAATTTGAAGGCAGGAAAAATAAAACGTATATATATGTTTGGGGCGCTACGCGTAAGAACGTATATATACATTTGGACCGTTTAAGGGTTAATTGTTTATTTACATACATAACTTTATGTGTAATTTTTATGATAGTGTTTAGCATTTAATTTTTTGTAATAAGTTTTGAAGTTACTCCCTAATTAACCTAACCAAAACTTGTTTATGATGTAAACAGTTTGGGAACACTTTCCTGCAGCTGGGCTATCAAGAAGAGACTGATAACGAAGGTACTACACTTCACAAGGTACAGGTGAGTTCCTTCATACATATCAAGCTTCACTTCTAGTACTGGTGTTGCTTGCTCCTTACAGAGAGCTTGCCATACCACTACCCGCAATTATCTGTACATAACTACAGGAACAGAACTAAACTTGTGGTGTCCCTTATTTGGTATTTAGTCTTATCAAAGTTTTATAAAGTTCCCACTGGTTGCAGCACTAAATACTTCCTGCTGATCTAACACTCCATCTCTCCACAAAAAAATAGCTAATCTTCTTTGGCAACTTTTCTTCCTTAGTTTGTAGCTAGGACTTCTTGTTTCATCACACAAACAACCTGCACATAGGAAAGAGGAGCTTACAACGACATTTCAGTCCGACTTGGACCACTTACAAAGTCACACTAACAGAAAGGATAGGAAGGAGGGAGTATATATAGGCCAACAGACAGGAACAGGACAAGAGAGGTAGTAGAGGAAGATGAGAAGTATTGGTAGAGGTAGAAGTAGTAGTAGTAGAGTCAGTCAAAGACTAAGAAAGAGGAGCACTGCAAGGGAGCTAGGGGCCCATAAAGGGTAAGAAAAAAAACACATAGGGGGGAAAATAATAATAATGGACCAAATACCCAAGGTAGAAGAAAGAAAACCCAAAGGAGAAAGAGGAAAGGAGAAGAGGGAGAAGGGGGAAAGCAAGAATCAGGTTAAATCACGGGCGTTCTGAAGTTTGGAGCATTTTACAGTGTAATGGGAAAGGAAGGCATCTACCGAAACATTGTCGTAAACTCCTCTCTCCTATGTGCAGGTTGTTTGTGTGTTGTTCCAGTCACGGTATTGTGCCTTTTTGTTATCCTGTTTCATGTTGACTTGATAGCATCACACAGTTGCTGCAGATGTGTCAATTGTACATTCATGCTGAAAATCTCCCAACCCACCACACCCCAAAAGATTACACCAAATTCTGACCCTACCATCTGCATGGCCCAGGAGAAATCATGATTCATCAGTCCAGGCAACGTTTTTCCAATCTTCAGCTGTATAGTTTTGGTGAGCCTGTTTACCTGGAGTTTACCTGGAGAGAGTTCCGGGGCTCAACGCCCCCGCGGCCCGGTCTGTGACCAGGCCTCCTGGTGGATCAGAGCCTGATCAACCAGGCTGTTGCTGCTGGCTGCACGCAAACCAACGTACGAGCCACAGCCCGGCTGATCCGGAACTGACTTTAGGTGCTTGTCCAGTGCCAGCTTGAAGACTGCCAGGGGTCTGTTGGTAATTCCCCTTATGTGTGCTGGGAGACAGTTGAACAGTCTTGGGCCCCTGACACTTATTGTATGGTCTCTTAACGTGTTTAGTGACACCCCTGCTTTTCATTGGGGGGATGGTGCATCGTCTGCCAAGTCTTTTGCTTTCGTAGTGAGTGATTTTCGTGTGCAAGTTCGGTACTAGTCCCTCTAGGATTTTCCAGGTTTTATATAATCATGTATCTCTCCCTCCTGCGTTCCAGGGATACAGGTTTAGGAACATCAAGCGCTCCCAATAATTGAGGTGTTTTATCTCCGTTATGCGCGCCGTGAAAGTTCTCTGTACATTTTCTAGGTCGGCAATTTCACCTGCCTTGAAAGGTGCTGTTAGTGTGCAGCAATATTCCAGCCTAGATAGAACAAGTGACCTGAAGAGTGTCATCATGGGCTTGGCCTCCCTAGTTTTGAAGGTTCTCATTATCCATCCTGTCATTTTTCTAGCAGATGCGATTGATACAATGTTATGGTCCTGAAGGTGAGATCCTCCGACATGATCACTCCCAGGTCTTTGACGTTGGTGTTTCACTCTATTTTGTGGCCAGAATTTGTTTTGTACTCTGATGAAGATTTAATTTCCTCATGTTTACCATATCTGAGTAATTGAAATTTCTCATCGTTTGAACTTCATATTGTTTTCTGCAGCCCACTGAAAGATTTGGTTGATGTCCGCCTGGAGCTTTGCAGTGTCTGCAATGGAAGACACTGTCATGCAGATTCGGGTGTCATCTGCAAAGGAAGACACGGTGCTGTGGCTGACATCCTTGTCTATGTCGGATATGAGGATGAGGAACAAGATGGGAGCGAGTACTGTGCCTTGTGGAACAGAGCTTTTCACCGTAGCTGCCTCGGACTTTACTCTGTTGACGACTACTCTCTGTGTTCTGTTAGTGAGGAAATTATAGATCCATCAACTGACTTTTCCTGTTATTCCTTTAGCACGCATTTTGTGCTCTATTACGCCATGGTCACACTTGTCGAAGGCTTTTGCAAAGTCTGTATATATTACATCTGCATTCTTTTTGTCTTCTAGTGCATTTAGGACCTTGTCGTAGTGATCCAATAGTTGAGACAGACAGGAGCGACCTGTTCTAAACCCATGTTGCCCTGGGTTGTGTAACTGATGGGTTTCTAGATGGGTGGTGATCTTGCTTCTTAGGACCCTTTCAAAGATTTTTATGATATGGGATGTTAGTGCTATTGGTCTGTAGTTCTTTGCTGTTGCTTTACTGCCCCCTTTGTGGAGTGTGGCTATGTCTTTTGTTTTTAGTAACTGTGGGACGACCCCAGTGTCCATGCTCCCTCTCCATAGGATGGAAAAGGCTCGTGATAGGGGCTTCTTGCAGTTCTTGATGAACACAGAGTTCCATGAGTCTGGCCCTGGGGCAGAGTGCATGGGCATGTCATTTATCGCCTGTTCGAAGTCATTTGGCATCAGGATAACATCGGATAGGCTTGTGTTAATCAGATTTTGTGGCTCTCTCATAAAAAATTCATTTTGATCTTCGACTCTCAGTCTGGTTAGCGACTTGCTAAAAACTGAGTCATATTGGGACTTGAGTAGCTCACTCATTTCCTTGCTGTCATCTGTGTAGGACCCATCTTGTTTAAGTAGGGGCCCAATACTGGACGTTGTTTTCGATTTTGATTTGGCATAGGAGAAGAAATACTTTGGGTTTCTTTCGATTTCATTTATGGCTTTTAGTTCTTCCCGCGATTCCTGACTCCTAAAGGATTCTTTTAGCTTAAGTTCGATGCTTGCTATTTCTCTGACCAGTGTCTCCCTACGCATTTCAGATATATTGACCTCTTTTAGCCGCTCTGTTATTCTTTTCCGTCGCCTGTAAAGGGAGCGCCTGTCTCTTTCTGTTTTACATCTACTCCTTCTTTTTCTTAGAGGAATAAGCCTTGTGCATACATCGAGTGCCACCGAGTTAATCTGTTCTAGGCATAAGTTGGGGTCTGTGTTGCTTAGTATATCTTCCCAGCGTATATCGGTTAGGACTTGGTTTACTTGGTCCCACTTTATGTTTTTGTTATTGAAGTTGAATTTGGTGAATGCTGCCTCGTGACTAATCTCATTATGTCGGTCTGGGGCTCCGTGCATACATGACTGAACCTCAATTATGTTGTGATCTGAGTATATTGTTTTTGATATGGTGACATTTCTTATCAGATCATCATTGTTAGTGAAGATGAGGTCTAGTGTATTCTCCAGTCTAGTAGGCTCTATTATTTGCTGGTTTAAATTGAATTTTGTGCAGAGATTTAAAAGCTCACGTGAGTGTGAGTTTTCATCAGAGCTGCCTCCTGGTGTTATTACTGCAACAATATTATTTGCTATATTCCTCCATTTTAGGTGCCTTAAGTTGAAATCCCCCAGGAGCAAGATGTTGGGTGCAGGAGCTGGAAGGTTTTCCAGACAGTGGTCAATTTTTAACAGCTGTTCCTGGAATTGCTGGGATGTTGCATCCGGAGGCTTGTAGACTACCACAATGATTAGGTTTTGGTTCTCGACCTTTACTGCTAAAACTTCCACTACATCATTTGAGGCATTTAGCAGTTCTGTGCTATATCCTCAGTTTCCTGCTCTTAGCTGACAGGAGTGGAACCCAGTGTGGTCTTCTGCATCTGTAGCCCATCCACTTCTGGTTTGATGTGTTGTGCTTTCAGAGATGGTCTTCTGATTATTTGAGTTACTCTCGTTTTCCTGTCAGCTTGAATCAGTCTGGCTATTCTCCTCTCACATCCCTCAATATCAAGGCATTTTTGCCCACAGAACTGCCACTCACTAGATGTTTTGTGTTTTTCACACCATGCCCTATAAACTCTTGACTGTTGTGCATGAAAATCCCAGGAGATGAGCAGTTTCTGAAATATTCAAACCACCCTGTCTGGCACCAACAATCATTCTGTGGTCAAAGTCGCTTAGATCACGTTTTTTCCCAATTCTAATGTTTGATCTAAAATAAAAACGGAACCTCTTTACCATGTCTGCAGACTTTTAGACATTGAGATGATGCTATGTGATTGGTTGATTAAATATTTGTATTAACAAGTAGGTGGACAGGTATACCTAATAAAGTGGCCACTGAGTATGCATATATATATTCTTTTTAGCACACTATCTCCCACTAAAGCAGGGTGACCCAAAAATGAAGAAACACTTTTATTTAGTAATTTATACAGAAGGGGTTAGCATGCCCTTGCTCCTGGCATTTTAGTTGCCTTTTATGACACACATGACTTGTAGAGGAAGGATTCTTATCCACTTCCCCATGGAGAATACTGTATAATCTTATATGGGTGTGAAGAATGGGTTGTAAATACTGCAGCAAGGAAGAGGCTGGAGGCAGTTGAGATGTCGTATCTAAGGGCAATGTGTGGTGTAAATATTATGCAGAGAATTCGTAGTGTGGATTTAGGAGAAGGTGTGGCGTTACTAACAGTATTAGCCAGAGGGCTGAAGAGGGGTTGTTGAGGTGGTTTGGTCATTTAGAGAGAGAGGAACAAAGTAGAATGATTTGGAGAGTGTATAAATCTGTAGGGAAAGGAAGGCGGGGTAGGGGGTCATCCTAGGAAAGGTTGGAGGGAGGGGGGTTTTAGATAAGGGTGAATGGAGACGAATGGTTTTTGGGACCTGACGAGCTGTTGGAGTGTGAGCAGGGTAATATTTTGTGAAGGGATTCAGGGAAACCAGTGAGCCAGACTTGAGTCATGGAAGTGGGAAGTACAGTGCCTCCACTTTAATTGTAATATTGTTTTTATTATGTGCAGCTTCAAGATTATTATATTTGCTAACCTCCACCTTGGCTACTTCACATTAGTCTTCTTCTTTCTTTCAACAAACCGCTCGTATCCCACCTAGGCAGGACCTCACATTAGTATTAAGATAAAATAAAGATTTATTAAAAAGTTAACCACTCTTATATTGTCTAGACTTAAGTAGTTATGTGCTAGGATTAGTCTGCCCGAAATGCCCCCGCATGATAGTTTCTTTCTTTGTACTTAACAAACCAAAATTGTAATTACATATTGTAACCCTTGCAAAAAACTAAAACCTTTATTCTTTTATTCTTTATTCTTTTTAAAGGAAAGGTTTGGGATATTGGCTGTTGGGCATAACATTTAAACTGCCATATCTGAGCACCTCTGCAAAGACAGTGATTATGTATGAATGAAGGTGAAAGTTTTAAATTATGATGAAAGTTTATTCTTTCTTTTTGGGTTTTTCTTTCTTTTTGGGTCACCCTGCCTTCGTGGAAAACAGCTGACGTGTTAAAAAATTAATTTTGTATATTTGTTTTATCTTTTTATTTGAGTATCCATATGAATGTGAAATTGTTTCCTTTTTTCTCTTAAGACTTACAGTTCAGAACTATTATTTCTAGTGAATTTACTTTCAGGTGGAGAGTTCAGGCAGAACAGTGGAGGTGTGGGTGGGAATGATGCCAGAAGAGCAGAGGACATGCATCAAGGCTGGAGTGGTACTAGAAACACCCACTTTAGCACCCACTCATCACCTTCTCCTACTGTGTCCTGCACCCACTCCAGAGCTCACAATCCAGCTCATGGGCCTTGGTGAGCCAAACCACTCATGTTTCTTCTCTATTTTTTCACAAATGTTAATATAATACAGTAGTGTAGAGCCCCCAGCCTACAACAATCTGTCTAAAGATTATCCAAATTTTGATGGTCCAGACTTTCGATATTGGCGCATTGAAACCACTTAATTACTTATGAACAAAAACTCACCCGAGCATGGAACTATCACTTCCAGTGGCCAAGGCAGTATCAATATTCAAAGTAGAAATTGTCATGGTTATTCTTTTCCAATGAACCTTTCTTTTGGAAGTATCTGAAGAGAAGTAGCAGGGGATGGTGAGCATAGGAAAGAGCAGGGTGAAGAGAACAAACAATCTAGGCAACAATAGATTGGATATCATGTTGGAGAGAGGAAATAAGGAGGCAGCAAATGTATTCAGATATTTAAGAGTGATCTTATCACTGAGATGCAGAAGCTGAGATTATCTTCCTCTACCACCACCTCTCCCCACCACACTCCCTGGGCATACATAATCCCTTACCACTATCCTCTCACAGCACCTAATGCCCTCAACCTAACAGTAAGTAAATGTAATAGAGCATAATTAAAGTGTTGTATCAGATATAATGGGAGACGGAAGAAGCTGCTGTTGCCTCTGTGTTATTTCACCACCCTCTTTTCCCACTGTGGGAAGGAGGAAATGAAAAGGAGGAAGAGAGGTAAATGAGTAGGAGAGAGGGAAGAGGGAGACAGGAGGAGGAAAGAGAGGAGAGGGACTCGTCTAAGTAATGTACATTACTTCTAATTTCACTGAAAAACTATATGAAATTAGACAGGAAATAATATGGTTGGGGATGCACCTTTTATTAAAACATGAGTTTCTATGAGAAAATAGTTTCTAATCTTTGAACACCTTACTGCAGTAACAATTTTCAGTAACACATTAATGTGGTAAATTGGGGCTCTATTGTATTGTTATTTTAAAACCAGTGGACATTATTGATACTGTAAACCTTTAAACATAGAAAAGTTATTAGTGTGGGTGCTATATAGAAAGGATGTACAATTAAAACAACCACTTCCTTACTGAAACTTTACTTCAGAGGAGCATGAAGGGCCTTATGTACGAATGGGCCAGATCTCAGGACCTGGAGGTGTGGGTGTGCAAGTAGGCAGTGGGCGGCTCCAACCTCTGGACACGCCCCCGGCACTCACACTCACAGCAGATGTAGAGAAGGAGGTGCTAGAGATTCTCATTGATTGGCAGAGCCGTTCACTCGCCCAGTTCAAGGTATGTCTCTCATGATATTATAGTTAAAGGAAAATGAACAAACACTTGGGACATCTTATTATGGAAATGTTTCAGTCCTTGGACCTTGTTCACTCCATACATGGGTTTTGAGAAAACAGGTTTATATAAGGATTGGTACTTATGAGGTAAGCTGAAGTTTAATAAGGTCAGGTGAGTCATACAGTTGTGAGATCACCAAGTGGAGTCATTGGGTAGCTTTAAAATATGTTGGACAAATGTATGAAGAGGACCTACCTAGCATGGGCCAGCAGACCTTCTGCAGTGCTCCTTCATTCTCATGTTCGCTTGATGGCTGTATCCCAAGGTGAGCAGGGCGATTCATGTTTGAGAAATAAGTGTGCCAGTGTGGCAGATACTGTATGACGTCTTGCTTTATGCTCTGCTGCATTTGTTACTGCAATTAGGGATGCTTCTAAACACTGGTGTCTCCTTAAATCTTACTCTCTGATGATCATCTGGTCTTCATTTCATTTTATTAAATGTCCTTCAGTGTTTCTATACATCACACAGGCATCACTTTGGTCATCCTTGGTACATGTATATTTGTAGTTCTTGATCTTAATAGGGAGGCTCTTACCAGGCTCCTACACAGGATAGTGTACACATTAGTGGTAGATACTGGGAAGTTAACAGTATGACACTTTTGGCAAGATTCTTGATGGGTGGCAGTAGATATTATGGCCACTTTGATATCATTCTTGGGAAGTGCTCTAGGTGTATTGTTTGTCACATCATCACACAGGAGGACTAAGGACCTCTGTGTGGTACATTCAAAAGATGGTCATGGAATGTTGTCCACAGTTGTGAATGAAGACTGTAGGATAGTGAAGACATAAGACATGAAGGTTTGTATAATGTAGGCATGTTCTTTCTTAAGAAAAACCAGATTAGATATATGGAGAGTGCTCAGAATGAATCCACTCACTATGCCCCTCTTAGTGCATATTTCGTGGTGTGAATAGGTGTGTATCAGGTCATCCTTGTTAGTGGGTTTCTTGTACACTTTGAAAGAGAGGGCATCACTATCAGGTGTTCTGCATGGAAGGACTGCCTAGTATACCTTGGGATACAGCCATCACTTGAACATGAAAATGGAGGAGCACTGCAGTAGGTCGGCTGGTTCATGCTAGGTAGGTTCTCAAACACCCACAGTCAGTGGCCAGGCTTCAAACACCTTTTATTGTATAGCAATAAAGGAATGGAACAGATTGCCTGCACATGTCAAAGTCAGCCATAGCATGAGCCAGTTCAAGAAAAGAGCCAAAAAGGTGCCTAATGAATGTAGTGAGAGAGAGGGAGGAGAATGTTTTTTTTTTTAGCTAACATGCATGTAAATGTTGAAAGCTCTTTTTACCTTATTCCTAGTATATATTCTTTATAGTATAATACAGTACTAAGACATTATCTCCTACATTTTATAATAATAAGGTATTAAAAGGACCTCAATGGAAATAGTTACTTTAGCTTTTTGCATAATCCTAGGTTCTCTACACATATGCTGCTGTGTATGCTATATATGATTGGTATTTTTGTTTAATAAATGTATGAAAGAGGGGAAGGTACCTAGGGATTGGCGGAGAGCATGTATAGTCCCTTTATATAAAGGGAAGGGGGACAAAAGAGATTCAATTCAATTCAATTCAAAGTTTATTCTCTATAAGGATTACAATGCTGAGTTTACAGAATTTGGTTATTGTGTGGTTTACATGTAGTAAAATAATAATTACAGAGTGTACCACTAGAACACCTAGCATGGCTAGGCATTTTGGGCAGACTTATATTAAATCTTAAGTTTAAAATATTACAAAATTATAAGGTAAGTTGGTATTATGGCTAAGTGCTAAAACTAGTGGAGTTTAGCAATGGAATGGGGCCATACATATTTCATTTTGGGTATCACGGGCCAACTTAACATTAAGATTCATTTTTTTGAGACTGAGATTGATATTCTGTTTAGGGTCATATGGGTGGTGAGTGTAAGTGTAAACCCACCAGGGTATTCGTATTATTAGTTAAGGGGTATCGGGGAGATAAATGTTTTCTGAGGGTAGTTTTGAAGGTGATGAATGTGTCTGCAGTTTTGGAATTTTTTCGGGTAGGGTTTTTTCCAATTTTGGGGCCTTTTGACATACATTGAATTTTGAAAAGGGTTTAGTCGGACAGGGGGAAGTCATAGAATGTTTGTTCGGTGTTGTCCCTTTGGGGGTTCTTCACAACATCAAGAAACTTTTTAGGTCAATTAATTTTGGGAATTTAAGGTCCTTAAAGAAAATTTGCACAGTAGAAGTGTGGATGACAAACAGGGTAAGTTTAGATCATAAAGAGGGGGGGCGTGTTGCCAGGGGGGGATTTAGTGATTATTTTTACTGCGTTTTTTGTTGGGTTTTTATTGGGCTTTAGGTGTTTGCGCGTTAAACCCCCAAAGCACAGAAGCATGGGTAGGTATGGAAAATAAGGGAATGGTAAGTGTAAAGGGATTAGGGGCACTATATCGTATCTTGGAGGGGATCCCCCTTTTTTGGATACTTTTTTGGTTGTATTGGATAGGGGCTGAATTCAGGTTGTTGCGAGGATGGGCCTGGGAAATTTTTGCCCTTTTATGCCTGGCAATTAGAGTTTGTGATCTTAATGAATTTGCGCATCTCCGCCTGCTCCCAAAAAAAAGTAGTATTTTGTCAACGTTAAGCGTAATTTTTATTGGCTGCATCCAAGCGATATTTTGATCACTCCCTTAACAATGGTTTTGAGGGGGGCAAGATTAGGGTGGAGATGACATAAGTCTGTCGTCAGCAAAGAGAAGGGGTTCAGGTGTCGAGATTCTTTTGGGAAGATCATGAGTATATGGGAAGAGCGGGGGCCCAAAGGGCCCTTTCCCCCGGGGAACTCCAGTTTCAAGGGGCTGTTTTTGTTGATGCGGTTCTTTAAAGGGTGACATACTGATACCTATTGTAAGGTAAGATTTGAAATATGCAACGCATGACCTTTTAAACCTAATGGTAAATTTTGTGGAGTGGGGATGCCGTGGCACTGTTCAAAAGCTTTCTTTGTCAATAAAATTCCTAGTGGTTTCCTTTTTTTTCCAATGCTGGTAAAGCAATCTGCATTTTTAGATTGCACGTTGGCTTTTTTTTTCCTGAATCCAAATTGCAGGGTTGAGAGTTTTGTGAGTTTAAATGAAAACAGTCTCCTGTGCACAGTTTTTCCCAAAAATTTTTAAGCAATGGTAAGTTTGAATTGGGGCCTTTGTTGTTTAAACTGTAGGGAACCACCTTTATGATTTGGGTAACCCTTGCCGTCTTGAGTAATTTCGGGGAAAGGGGCTAGTTTCTAGTGACTTTTTAAAAAGAATAGAAATATCGAGAGACATGGGCCACTCTTTGACAATAAAGGGGGGGACATGAGACAGATTCCCTGAGTTATTTTAAGTGACTTTTTAAACTCCGGGACTCCTGGGCTCAGTTTTGGGGCAAGATAAAGGAATTTTGGAAATTCCCACTAGGTAGTCCCCGGGATGGCATTTTGGGGCGTGGGATTTTATTGGGGGAGATTTAAAACCCATGGTTGAAAGAAGTCGTTTTTCTTTACCCGTGCATGGGTTTAGTGGGGTTTTATTAGGTTTATTAGGACAAAATTCTTGTTTTTTTTTTATTTGGGGTCCCCAGAACTGAGAGAGGTTTTTCCAGGCTTTTTATATCTCCTCTTTGCATGAACAATGGGGAGTAAATTGTTTTTCTTTCTTTTTAAACTTTTTTGGGGGACTGATGAATATGTTTAAGAATATCTTTGTGATTAAAGCCCCGCTATATTTCTTTTTATTGGTGTTTTTTATCAGGGTTTCAAAAGGGCGGTTTTGCCATGGCAACCAAGCCGTTTGTTTGTATGTTTCGTTTTATAGGCAATGTTTTTTTTATACCCAAGTAGTTTGTTAAGAAAAATGTCTGCCATCATCAATACCATTGGCCTTGGAGAATTCTGTAGGCCAGTCAACAGTCTCTAGGTCAGCGTGAACTTCCTTATTGAGGCCTCATCAATGGAGTCTAAATAAAGATGTTGTTGTATTCAAGTGGTGGTTTACTAATTTTTTGTCAAGAGGAAGGTAGGGTAGTGGTCTGTAGTGCTATCTGTGATTATCCCTGATTTAAGGGGGGCTAGTATATTGGTCCATATGTGGTCTATTATAGTTGCACTTGTTTCAGTGAGCCTGGTTGGTTTAGTTATTTTTGGTATGAAGTATGTTGTTCATATTGTTGATGAAATCATTTTACAGGCTGTTCATCTAGTAGGCCAAGGTTGATGTTGAAGTCTCCAGCTAAGAGAAGGTGGTGCTTATTCATTGTCTGTTTGTTTTTAGTGCCTTTAATTTCTCACTGAATTTTGGGGATGTTTGTGGGGGGTATCCGGTAAATGGCACCGATTGTTAAAGGCGTCTTAAGGTTTTTTACAGTAAAATTAGCAAAATTATTTTCTCCATATTCTTTCACTAAAGCAATTGGTTGCTAATACAAGATAATTGGTTGAGTAATAGATTGCAATACCACCCCCAACTTGGTATGGTCTGCAGTTGTGGATTGCTGTGTATCCTTGTAGAGGGTAGATATTGTTTCCTGTTTAAGCCAGGTCTCAGTAAGAATAATGCAGGAGAAGGGTGTCTTTAGTGAAAAATTATAGAGGAATAAATTATTAAGTATACCAGGAAAAGTGTACGGTAGGGTTATTATTGAAAGAATTAGAGGTAAGACAGAATGTAGGATTGCAGATGAGCAAGGAGGTGTCAAAGTGGGTAGGGGATGTGTAGATCAAGTGTTTACATTGAAGCATATATGTGACAGTATTTAGATAAAGGTAGGGAAGTTTTATTGCATTTAAAGGATTTAAAAAGGCATATGATAGAGTGGATAGGGAGCAATGTGGCAATGTTGCAAGTAAATGGAATAGGTGGTAAGTTACTAAATGCTGTAAAGGTTTTTTTGAGGATAGTGAGGCTCAGTTAGGGTGGTAGAAGAGAGGGGGAC